ACAGTAGCCAACATTTTCTGGGGTTTTGAGTCAACTAGCATGTATTCAATGTATGTGTGGAACTCTAGAATGTGATTATTCTTAATTTATAAATGAAGGATAAATGAAATGTCCTTTTATGTGTCATTGATGAGTTAACAGTTATGAAACATGAGAAAATTGATAATAATTTCGTCCTAAACTGTGATTAGTAAAAAAAACAATGTTCTATTTGAGGTAAAATCTCTTGGGTCTATAATTTAACATTGTTCTAAGTTTTAACTTCAGGTATGAATGCCTGAATTGTCATGAAGTCAATGTCCACCATTCAAGGGGAATGTCATGTGCTGCCCAAAAGGAATACAATCTGAGAATGGCTACAGGTAAATGTCTGTCCCTGGGAAAAGTTGAGGGGATGATTTTGAGTAAGCAAAAGTAGGATCCTCTGAACTCAGTTTCCCATTGTGCTATTTTCTTTCTGAACAGGAAATTTTCCACCCAGTTAACTCTGAGCCTCATAAATACCTACCAAGTCAGAGGGAATCAAGGATATCTATATGCTGAAATCCTTTTTACATTGAGTATCTAAAAAACTCTATTTTTCTATTTTTTTTTGTTTAGCAATGAGTTTATGCTTTTATATTCATCTTTCATTTCTTGCACTTGCTTCCATTTTCCTCTTATTATCTAAGTTGATTTATGAATTCCTTATGCATAGAAGAGTCTCTTTAAGTATCTACTCTTTTCCTCATTGAAATTGTCTTTGCTTTGTCCTCTACCCTCCACCCCAGGACTGCTTTTAGCTAAATTCCAGACATTTTGGTATATTGTTTCATCTCAATACTTATAATTTCATTATTTTTATACTTTATTAATTTATTTTGATTTATCAACACTCACTTCCACAAGCTTTTGAGTTTTAAATTTTACTCCCTCTCTCTCCCCACCTCCCTTCCCTCGACAGTGTGCAATCTGATATAGGCTATACATATACATTCCTGTTAAACATATTTTCACATTAGTGATGTTGTAAGTAAGAATTAGAACCAATAGGAGAAACCACCAGAAAGAGGAAACAGAACACAACAGAAGAAAAAAAAAAGCAAATACTATGCTTCCATCTGCATTCAAACTCCATAGTTCTTTCTTTGGATGGGGATTGCATTTTCAATCATGAGGCCTTTGGAGATGTCTTAGATCCCTGCATTGCTCAGAAGGGTTAAGTCTATCAATATTAGTCATTGCAACATGGCTGTTACTATGTACAATGTTCTCCTGGTTCTGCTCACTTCATTCAGCAACAGACCATATAAGTCTTTCCAGGTTTTTCTCAAGTCTGCCTGCTCATCATTTCTTAAAGCACAATAGTATTCCATTACATTCATATACCATAACTTGTTCAGCCATTCCCCAACTGCACCACAAAAAGAGCTACTATAAATATCTTTGTGCATGTGGATCCTTTTCCCATTTGTATGATCTCTTTGGGATACAGCCCTAGAAATGCTATTGCTGGGTCAAAGGCTATGCACATTTTTGTAGCCCTTTGGGCGTAGTTCCAAATTGCTCTCCAGAATGGTTGGATCATTTCACAACTCCACCAGCAATGCATTAGAGTTCCAATTTTCCCACATCTTCTCCAACATTTATTATTTTCCTGTTTTGTCATGTTAGCCAATCTGATAGGTGTGATGTGGTACCTCAGAGTTGTTTTGATTTGCATTTCTCTAATCAATAGTGATTTAGAGCATTTTTTCATATGACTGTAGATGGCTTTAATTTCTTCATCTGAAAACTGCCTGTTCATATCCTTTGGCCATTTATCAATTGGGGAATGACTAGTATTCTTATAAATTTAACTTAATTCTCTATATGTTTTAGAAATGAGACCTTTATCAGAGAGACTGGTTGTTAGAATTCTTTCCCAATTTTCTACTTTCCTTGTAATCTCGGTTGCATTGGCTTTGTTTGTGCAAAAACTTTTCAATTTAATGTAATCAAAATTATCCATTTTGCATTTCATAATATTCTCTATCTCCTGTTTGGTCATGAATTCTTCTGTTCTCCATAAATCTGATAAGTAAAGTATTCCTTGTTCTCCTTGTTTGCTTACAGTATCAGCCTTTCTATCTAAATCATAAATTCATTTTGACTTTTGGTCTATGCCTAGTTTCTGTCATGCTCTTTTCCAGTTTTCCCAGCAGTTTTTGTCAACTAGTGGGTTCTTATCCCAGAAGCTGGGGTCTTTGGGTTTATCAAATAATAGATTACTATAGTCATTAACTACCATGTCTTGCATACTTAACCTATTCCACTGATCCACTACTCTATTTCTTAGCCAGTACCAAGCAGTTTTGATGATTGCTGCTTTATAATACAATTTAAGATCTGGAATGGCTAGGCCACCTTCCCCTGCATTTCTTTTCATTAGTTCCCTCTATATTCTGGCCCTTTTGTTATTCTAAATGAATCTTGTCATTGTTTTTTCTAACTCTATAAAATAATTTTTTGGTAGTTTGATTGGTATGGCATTGAATAAGTAAATTAGTTTAGGTAGAATTGTCGTTTTTATTATATTAGCTTGGCCTACCCATGAGCAACTGATGTTTTTCCAATTATTTAGATCTGACTATTTGTGTGAAAAGTATTTTGTAATTGTGTTCATATAGTTCCTTGGTTTGTTTCAGGAGGTAGACTCCTAAATATTTTATAATGTCTACAATAAGTTTAAATGGAATTTCTCTTTCTATCTCTTGCTGTTGGGCTTTGTTGGTAATATATAGAAATGCCAGTGATTTTTGTAGGTTTATTTTATAGCCTGCAACTTTGCTAAAGTTGTTTATTATTTCAAGTAGTTTTTTACTTGATTCTCTAGGATTCTCTAAGTGTATCATCATATCATCTGCAGAGTGATAGCTTTGTTTCTTCTTTTTCTATTCTAATAACCTTTAATTTCTTTTTCTTCTCTTATTGCTAAAGCTAACATTTCCAGTGCAATATTGAACAACGGTGGTGATAATGGACATCCTTGTTTTACCCCGGATCTTACAGTTTCATTTTTAAGGCTCCATTTGGGTCTATGTATACGGGCCGCACGCTGACCCTCTGCCAGTCGTGCGCCAGTACCCA